CATTTCTCACCCTGGCATCCGAGCAACAGTTAAACTGATAAGTGACCGATATGTATGGCCGAATATGAATCGGGAGATTAAACAGTGGGCCAGATCATGTTTAGCCTGCCAAAAGTCAAAAGTACAGCGACATACAGTTTCGCCTAATGGACAGTTTCCAGAACCTGATGGTAGGTTCCAACACATACACATTGACATCGTTGGACCGTTACCACCATCTAATGGCTTTACGTACATTTTAACGTGTATTGACAGATTTACGAGATGGCCAGTAGCTTGTCCCTTACCTGATATTTCTGCTGAAACTGTTGCAAAGAGTATCATGCAAAATTGGATTTCCAACTTCGGAGTGCCCACCATTATTACTACAGACAGAGGTGCCCAATTCGAAAGCCATTTATTCCAACAACTCACAGAACTACTGAGAATCAAACGTATACGTACTACTGCATATCATCCCAGCTCAAACGGCTTAGTGGACAGATTTCATCGTCAACTGAAAGCATCATTGATGGCAGTGAAGGACGATGGTAAGTGGAGCGACAAATTACCTCTTGTACTTCTTGGAATACGTTCGACAATAAAACAAGATATCAAATGTTGTCCAGCAGAATTAGTTTATGGAACTACTTTACGACTACCTGGAGAATATTTCAACCCAGCCACTGAAGTTCCAGCTGACGAAACTACTTTTGTACAACAACTGAGACAACATATGAGCCTTTTAAGATATCACCCACCGCGACATCAGCTCAACCAAGCATACATGCCTGAAAAACTAGAAAATTGCACGCATGTTTTCATACGACACGACGGTGTAAGGAAACCACTTCAACCACCTTATGACGGACCATTCAAAGTAATAAGCAGAACAAGCAAAATCATCACTGTCGAACGCGGAGGAAAACACGAGATTGTAAGCATCGATCGCGTCAAACCAGCTTTCATAGAAATAGAGGTGACTGAGTGTTTACCCAAATCAACATCATCTCAAGATTCAAAATCTGGTGATATTCCGTCTAACAAAACAGAAAGAATCACAAGATCAGGCAGACGAGTACATTGGCCACAAAGATTTGTACAGACAATTTATTTCTAATTCATTTCCATACTACCTTATTACGGTACTATTAACTGTATGTTAAGATATAAATCTATTCTGTAACTCTTTACAATAACAACCCCATTATTATTCTAATAATTTTTCTGGTTTTATTGTTACATTTTGCACAACTTTCTAAATATTTCGGTTCGTTTCGAAGTTGTTAACATTTTTGCATATATACAGTTATAGTATCAAACCTCAAAAACTTAAAGGCCTCAATTCGGTTTTCATATTTTTTTTTGTTCTTGTAATTTACAATATCATTCCGAATACAGGTAAACTTCATTTACCTGCATTCTACGGAGGGGCTATTGTAGTGACCCGTTTTATTACGCATCATTGCAGTATACTTTCATTGTGTAATTGTACTTCGATTTGTTTATTACTCTAAATCTTGCATGTTAACAATTGATACTATTGTGCTCGCTCGATTTTTGAATTTTGATTGCTGCAATAATACACTGTCGTATTCCTTCGCAAGTGCCTTTTGAATTACGTTGTGGATGTCGAGTAATCGCAACGTTAGGACACAAATATAAACGCGAGGAAATACTAGAAGATACGTGTATTCTAATTCAGTCAAAATATAGCAGCAACACTATCTCCCGTGTTGATTGGTATAACAAGGTGAGCAATATTGAGGTTAGGCGTCGAGTGCTAGGTAAGCAGGCGAAATCAATCGACGAGGTTGTGAAGTTACACAGATTGAGATAGTTAGGACATGTGTTACGCGTACATGCCTAGCCATCACCCTCCTCAACAGGCAGTGTTAGCTGACAGAAGATCAGATTGAAAAAGAGCCAGTGGTGGTCAAACGAAAAAATAGCTTCATCAGTCAATCGAATCCATAACAGTTAGTTTACGCCAGCCAGTCACGTAGGGAGGTGTAGACTGGCTGACTGGTTGGAGTCCTCGGGATGGTGAGAACCAATGAAGGCTGGAGACAATTGGTGATATGCCTCAAAATCGTTCTCAATGACTGGCGCAGATACATCCACTCCTTGTGATTTATAATATCCAATAAAACCATATTGTTCCTACATTATACTATTTTTTTACCTCACATCTCTGTATTGAATCTACTTTTACTCTCTTCTCTTGCTTTGTGTGCTACGTGAAGTGTGGCAGGTCGAACTGCTGCACATCTGTGCAAAGTTCTACGTTGAAAGCAGTCAGTCAGTTACGGATTGGTGGTGTTTTTGACATGAACATCATTAATATACCTCAAGCTTTGTCGTGGTTTAGCTAACATTCCTTATAGAAGAAGAGGACGTCTCCATAATATGCAAATCGGATATCCACAAAAATTTACAATCTCTCATCGACTAGCATACTCTCTCCTCCACTCCACCCCAACTCCCTCCACACACACACACACATCGAACATACTACGCCTAACCTCATCATTGCTTAGCACATTACTCTATCAAATGATGAAAACAACTTAGCGAAGTCATCTATGCTCAAATATTCATAACACCTTTCAGTCTCTTACTTTCAAAATCCATGTCTTATAGTTGCACTGTAGGACTGAGTTGACTCTTACACAGTAGACGTGTACGTACTTTATTGTATAGCCAGATATCTTACCAGTCCTGAAATAGTAGATGGACACAATCGCCCTGACGAGAAAACAGTAAAGTTCATCACTAAACAAGTCTCGTTCACACAAATTTAATGAAGAAGTTGCAAATTCGACGGGTCCCCAATCTTTGCTATCTTAATATCCTGATACATTCAAAGGTATAATCGACTTGTTTGTTTCAGACCAGGAGTTAGGAAAGTAGAAACATAATTCGACGATAACCACTTACATTTACATGTAGGTAGATATGTATGGAGTTGAATGACACTGCCTGGCTACTCAAAGCTCGGCATGTGGAACTGGATTCAAACCAAAGACCCAGTGGTGGTTGGAAGTTGAAAGCTTAGATAACTGATCCAAAGGCCAGGTATTTCGAGTATTTGAGAGTTTATGGTATCAAACGCTTTCCCATATCTAAAATACTTAGAGTGAGGCTTCAACTCATAACTGATTAGAAAAGACAAAAAAATAGGCCGTACAGTTCAACGTGTTTCTCGTCGGATGTCTGAACATCATCCTACGTGGCTATGTAAAGGACAAAACCTTCTTAAGAGTTCGTCTACTACATATTGCTGAGGATGTTGGGATATACATTAAGAAACCTAATTTATGGCATCCAAAAGAAGTTAGTTCAGACACTGCCCTTACCTTGGCCATCAAAATTTCAATGATCCTCATTTTGTTGTAGAAATTTCCTTAATTCTATTTGTCATTACATTTCTATACCCATGAAAACGAACCCAGAGACTGCCGCAGATGTCCTCACACCGTTATTGCAAAAGGTTTGGGAAGAAGATAAGGTACCTACCGATTGGAGGAAAGGCTGGCCACCTTGTCAAGCTCCCCAAGAAAGAGCGATTCAGGCCTCACTCTGCAAGAACTGGCATCGAATAATGCATTTGACCACGCCAAATAAAATACTGGGTTGCATTATCCTTGAGAGAATATAAAAGATACATTGGATACAGATCTCCGCCACCCACTGGAACAAGCTGTCTGGATTCAGGAAAGGCAAATCATGTGCTGATCAAACTGCAACTCCACGCATCGTCATCACAGAACAAAGCATAGAATGGCAGTCAAACCTCACTCCACCTCAACTTCATTGACTTTGAAAAGGCCTTCGACAGACAGTGTTTACCATGAGGTGGTTTGGAAACTACTTCAACACTACGACGTACCTCAAGTCTTTATCAACCTCATTCAACAGCTGGCTATATGACAGTGGCGCGTCTCAGGTGATCCACAACGGAAAACTCAGCGGGGCGTTCGAAGTGAATACGGGAGTAAGACAAGCTGGTTGCCTGCCTCTTATCACCGATGTTATTCTTAATTGTGGTGGACTGGATTTAGTGTCAGACTGTGCGTGGGAGAGAGTAGACGAGAATACGCCGTATCACCGATAAGAAGACTCTAGAAGATATAGATTTCGCGCATGGATTATTTAGGTAAAATGCCACACAAATTCGAAGAATTGCAGGTGGGGTGAGCAGCAAAGCAGGACTGCAGGTGAACACAAAGAAGACGGAGGTGATGAAGATAACCAATCAACAGCAACGACAACAGCAGCCAGCACCAATCACCGTTAACTGGAGAGATTTAACAGAGGTGACCTCTTTCACTTATCTAGGAAGCATAGTTCCAACCACAGCCAGTAAAACGGATGAAGATGTCAAAGCCAGACAGTCAGAATCCGAAAGGCAAGATACGCCTTCATCAACTTGAAACCAGTTTGGAAATCTTCTGCACTCAGCCTCAGCATAAAGAACACGATCCGCATTTTCAACACTAATGTGAAGTCCGTCAGTGCTTCTATACGGGTAAGGAAACTTGCCCTGCGTGTCACGAAAAGGAATTCCAACAGTCTGTTCCAGACTTCCATCAACAGCTGCCTTCGCTCCAAACTGAACATCAAATGGCTAGCCAGAAAGAATAAGCAAGAAGAAACTCTGTCTAGCTGGGAACAAACCAACCAGAAGCCGATCACTCAACAAATATGTAGGAGACAATGGAGATGGATTGATCGGGCATATATGGAGGAGGCCGCCGAATGACATCGCACGCCAGGCGATTGCTCGAGTCGAATCCAAATGGGAAGCGATGAGTAGGTCGTCCTAGGGTAATACAGAGGAAATGGTGTGAGGAAGAGATGTGAGATTATGGGCAATCGTGGACCCAGCTGAAGAGAATGGCGGAAAATAGGAGAAAATGGAGATGTGTTGTTGAAGCCCTGTGAATATATATATATATACCACTATTAAAGTCGAACTTTTCAGAATGAAAAAGTACAGAAAATAAACCGAAGAGGATACGAAATACTATTATATTTGCAACCACCATCAGTGAAGCAGATTTATCCTGAGATCCCCATTACAGTACTACTATCAAATTAATAAACACCACTATCCATTTTGGTTCACACACACACACCGCCACAATACACATTATAAACACTAAAGAAAGTTAGTGGATTAAATTCTCCAACGAACTAATGATTATTGTTAAGTGTTCAACGAAAAAATCGAATGTGGTACACGATAAACAACAGTATTTATTTTAAAATAAATTAGCACCACAAAATCTGTCAGAAGAAATAATCAATTTCTGTAACATTTTACTATTTCATTGATCACTTTTATAGTAAAGATTATTAATAATTTATATTCGAAAACAATTAGGAAACTAATCCCGGCGGTTGTAGTATCTCCTAGTCACTGCAACAGTCAGAGTCAGAGTCACTAAGCTTTAAATCGTGCTCAATCAATTTACGATGAGCTGACAAATTCGGATTAACCACCGCTTTAGTATCAGATTTTGTATTTGAAGAGGGTGGCTTAGTTTTCGCTGATTTCTTTCTTTCACTTGATAAACTGCTCAGAGTAGAACTTGACTCACTCTCCGAAACACTGTCATCATCATCATCATCACTATCCGATGACTCCGCGTCCATATCACTGCTGCTACTGGAAGCACTACTACTACTACTACTGCTACTCAGAGTTCTTGAGTGTGTTTTCTTCTCCAATGACTGTTGTGCTGTAGTATTTGAAGTAACAGACATCATCTCAGGATCATTGGGTGGTTTTCTTTTAGGCGGAGTAGGTCGGATAGATTTCAAGTTAGTTTCTTGACCTGAACGGTCAGGCAACGGGAGCAACTGTGAACCTTCCGAGTTAGGAAGACTGGCTGTATCAGGCTTTCGTCCTTCGCGAGTTTTCTTCAACTGCACGGTATGTGCAATTCGCTCTAAAGTCAACTCATGGGTCTGGAATTAAAAAATATAAATATAGCAAAATTAAAGATATTCCTTTCACACGTACAGAATTACAGTGGAAAACAACGATTACAAAGGTTAATGTCAGTCATTCATACTGGACGTGAGTATAGTTACCCCAGTTTTCGCAATGTCGACTACCTAAACAACGTTTGGATAAAACACTTCTCGTATAGAATTGAACAGTATTTTGTGATTTCATACGATGGCGTTACGCTTACAAGTAAAAAATCCGGAATTCTCATTTACTTTATTCCCTGGTTGGGTACCATAGTTTGATGATTTTATTTCAAAATCAGCTACTAGATTTCTATGATAATAATAATAATAATAATCTTTATTCCAGTTTCATTAAGTTTATTACTTGTTCAGTGCATAAGCAACAGAAGATACATTTAGTAACAAGGCTGGTTGGAGAAACTTTCTCATTTAGAATAAGTGAAACGCAGAATTCATTATGGCTGATTACTACCACAAAAACGTATGACTGACTGAAAGTCGCAGGTTTCAACATAGAACTGTTATGGTGTCGTCACCTATATTATGGTGTGATCGAGTGTAAATATGCGCTAATCAGATATACCGGACGATAACGTACAGACTGGGACTGCTGACTAGCTAATTTGTCCTGACACAGAGAGGAAAATCAGAAAACACCCACGTTCACGAAGACACATGTATTTTCCAACAAAGAAAACTAACTGTCACACAAGAGTGTGAGTAGAAAAGTACCAAAGTACGAAAGTGTGAATTAACTGTACAATACAAGAGTGTATAGAAAATAACTAACACATATGATCCAATAGGACAGATAGCAGTTTTCCTTACCACCACTGGAGTCTGATTGGTTGCAATGTCATGTGACAAAGGTCATACAGTGTTTATTTAGTAATTAATGGACAGACAAGATATATTGTGAGTTATGATGGAATAAACGATCAATATACATATAGCGAAATATATCAGACTGGCAAACAAAGCAGACATCATGTGACTTCATATCAAGAACTACACTCAGTAGTAAAATGCAGAGATCCAAGTTGCCATAATGTTGTCATAATACACTCAGAAATAGAAAGAAAAGAAAAAGGCTTGAAGGAATTGTACTGGGTGAAAATATACGAGAGGAACAATAAGCACATAGAGAATGGAAAAGTGATGAATCAAGGAATTCTTTTAAGGGTGAACGCGTCTGCACCGTTGTTGACAAAGAATTCCGGGTCACGTCACCAACAGACTGCAAATATCGATTATTAGCATCTCTAGATGATCACAATCAAGTTGAAACGAACAAAGACTTCATCGATTAATGCTAGTTAGTTTCTGAACGTTTTAACTTCCCTCATATCCTTGAGTTGAAAGTGGAATATACGACTTCAAACTTTCGAATTTTCAGTAGCAGTGAGGTTGTCTCGCCTCTATCGGCTTGTACACACTAAGTGAGAGCTTTAAGATTGTATCAGCCGACAGTTGAACACTTGTGGCGGCCTAAAAACATATCAAATTATATGTTCACGAAAAAAAGAAGGAATTCAACCTTAAACCTTGAACCGCGCGCAAGGAACGAATCGTTCGCCCTCTCTCCGGCTGCTCGCCCAGCACATCTGCTGACCAACGCTGTCTCGCACTGGTTGACACATCCCCGTCAAGAACTTTGCTCCTATCTGCCTTACTCTACGTGGAGACTTCCGACGGTTGACAGCGCTAAGTTGTAGTGGAGAATTTGTATAATCAAGAGAAGGACAATTACATTCCTATAATTTCGTACGTCTATAATTTGTGTATTTTGTGACTGTTATAGTTTTCTTCAAATAACCTCAGTCCTTTTTTGTGTATATTAACTTAAGTGAACTGAATATTTTATATATACGTATTTGTTAGTACCTGTTCTGTCCTTTTAATTGCGTTTATATACTTACCTAGCTACTAGGTCCACTACACACTGACCTTGTGTGTGGTTGGAGAGCCAGCCATTTTTCAACTGATGCCTTTCTTACTCAATGTTCTAAGCCTAATTATCATTATTACTCTTAGTCCCTTGGGTCCCGAGTGGAACATGAGGCTTCAACAACAACAACTACTCTACGCCCAATCTCCATCACCACATTTTACCAATTAACAGAAGAGATGGAACGCAAACACGTGTAGTAAGAGACGGATAGTCTCCTCTTAAACTTTCAACGGTCAGATCCCACAGCCATAAATGGTAGATCGAACTGATGAGCAGTACACACGTCCTTTGACCGACAGCCGGATATCACGTCAAAGGCACAGATAACGTAAGTGAAAGACTAGGCATTTTGTCAATGTCTTCACCTGGAAAGACTACAACTCTCCGCATACTCTAAGTTGACGACAACACTCTATCCAGGTAACCAGTCAATCTCAAAGTCGCTGAAGTCGCTCACACAAGTTGTGAGAGTAGTGACTTGATATGATTATGAGTAGCAATAATTTGTGCGCGAAACGTGATCGTCAGTAAATATTACTGTACAACACTGTGTGATTTATCAAAATAAAGTCTTATCCATAATGGAGTTATACTCTACCACAGTGCTTATATCAAAAATGGTCATCCTTAAGAGACACAACTAGCTATCATTATTTCAGAGGAAAAATTCTCATAAGCTCTTACCTGGCTGCACGAGTTTGAGTAGAGTGCCTTGATCAGTATGATATAGTCAATCCGTTTACGGTTAGGCATCATCACATACGCCATCTGGTCAAAATTATGGCAAGTCTTGCACACCGATAAGTATCCCTACGTTTGTAGATCTGTCGAGGGATGAAAATATGATCAATACGCCCTCGTCCCTGTTTGAAGCCTGACTGACTGATTTTCCCGGTTTTAATTCTCCCGAGCACTGCTGCTTAGTCTACAGAGTATTACTTACATCAGAATTTCACGTACTATTTTAGTAAAGCTGATTTCCGCATAACTTGTCTTTCTTTTTTCACAACTGGGATAATTAGAGATTTACACTAGCAGGGATGAAGCTACACAGTATCAGAGTGGGCACATGCACACGACATACAACCACACATACCAAAGAATAGTAGTATTCTGTCAGGTTTACCAGAATGGGACAAGAGTTGTGTGTAAGTAATTCATATCCAAACTAGCTGTCTATACATGTTATTCAACGCTCTAAAGAGTATTAGAACAGCATAAAGTTTACAGTGGTATGAATATCTTAAGGCAAACCAATATGTGAAAGAAAAATTGCAGAAAGTCTAAAGAGCTGCTTATACTCCAAAGACGTAAAATTTCACGTCAAGATTGAATCAGATCCACAGAGGTTTCCAAAAGCTTGATAAGAATTCCTAACTTAGGTACACAGAGTAATTAGAATGAAAGACTTATTAGATATCTAGCAGTTATAAACCATACTTGCACATCTGTGGATTGAATAGAAGTGTAAACCGATGAGACCGTGAATTAACTTACAAAAGACCAGAGAAGTGACTTCATCAAGTCGCCTATTATATGCTTCCTTATGTAATTCGAAATTTAAGAAGGTACCACCAGATTTACGGAACTTAACGCAGCTCATATATAGTTGGTGGATGGTGACTAGCAGTGGAATCCAGGATGCGCATTTCGTCCTATTTGGGACTTGTCATCTGGATTTACCTGCATTTCTGTTGAAATTTTTAAACATTAATTTATTCACTGAGGATGAGCAGAGAGAGTCACCACATGCATAGTAATTATACGTTCCAAAAGACTGTTTCCGTCTGAGCATAAAGGGTTGTAACGCAGCTTTCGTGAACACGATGATATTTTGTGTGGTATAGCACTTTGCTTCGCATAATGTACCAAGTTTGCATTTCATTAATTGATAAATGTTCCATGTAAACAGAAGCTACGCAAAAACAGTAGACTTACCTTTTTATTATATATCAAAATACATTCTTTCTGAACAGAACGAGCAGTCCCACGAAATGTAGTTGTTGCGTCCAAGTTGGTGCTTGTTACATTAGGCATGTCAACAACAACCTCGTTACCTTCATTTACCCTGATTGAGCCAGGTTGTGACCGGTCTACTGAGGCAGGCATAAAATCACAACGCATTGTCATATATGATGTTGGATCTCGATCAAGAAAACTCTTTCCAAGTTTAACATCAAATGTCCCACTGAGTTGCATTTTAATGACCACTATAACAAAAACAACGAACTTTTAATAATACAGCCGAATTATGAAAGAATGTAAGTTGAACATTTGACAAACATCACGAAAACACTGAAAAGAATGATAAAAGTGATTAGTGTGCACAATTGGGATAACAGATAGGCAGATCCATATTTATCAGTACAACCCATACTTACTTCATTCGCCTTCTTGAAAGATCTTACCACCAGCCTAATTATTTATTGTTGACGCAAAACTCAGTCATTTGTACGACTTACGCGACAACTTAACAGTAGATTAATCATACAGATTCACTTTCTATTACAAAATGGAATGTCACCACTTCACTTAGAATAAAGTGATCCTATGAAGAATAGCAACATTTAAAAATAATAAATGGATAGGACCAAACAATAAGGGGGAACTAAAGAGTTTAAGAATAATCACTGATGATCCATGGGAGTTGGAATAGAATAAACAGTACTTCTGTAAGACAAATCTGATAAAACGTCAGACTTTTAATCAAACAGAAAAGTTACGGCTCTTGGGTGCAATTTCTCTAAGCTTCAGGATATATTTTCTTATTCCTTTACGTCTTTAGTGGAATATACGGCTTCAATATTTAGCTTTGAAGTTTCAGTAACAGTGGCATTTCTTAGGGGTGAGGGGGATTGCTAGCCTGACAGTCAACCTCCCCTCTTTGTTGGGATGATGACCGGCTTGGGGAGGTAAAGGTGTGCGCCGATCGGGACTCGAACCATGTGCATGTTCAGCCAGCACACTACCGCTGAACCACACACGGTCAGCTTCAGTATAATATACCCTTATCTGCTGTGGGAGAATACTATGTTATAATCCAGCTGTTCCAGCAAACCTACGTTCGAAGAAATCCATTACTGAAGAGAAATACAGAAATGGAGTTGTTTTCACAACGATAAGGACATGGTCTTCAATAGGCACACTTTCAAAGGTGCTCTCTGCTCTGGGTCTGGAGTTGACATCAACCCTGAACTATGACGACGGTAAGTAAAGCTTATCATGATAGCAAACTTCAACTTGATGTTGAGTGAATTACGTAAACGTGAAATAAAATGACAAGCAAAGTCAAAGAAGCCTGTAATTAAAAGCTAATAAAATGCAGTGGAGTTTGTAAGTATGTCCTAACTGACCGCTGTAAGTATAGCTGTTCTAAATGGTCATAACTACGATGATTAATGATACTACTTTCAACATGTGTAAGCTTTTCTTTAATTTCAAAAGGGGTGCAATCTGAAGTGGAAAGGTAATTGAGACAGATCCTCTACGAAAAGGAATTTTCTTGGCAACTCTCAATTTGTAAAATACTAAAATTAACTCTAGCAACTTAGAATAATCAAAAGGAAGACTAAACAGACAAACATCTCCACTTTATCCTCTCGATTACATGACTCCATATTGAAAGCGGTTAATGAAGTGGTTCTGTAACTTCGATTAAAATTTGAGCTGCCTTGATTCTGAAATAACAAGACGGGTTGCTAAATTTACTGTTAGACTATGGTAGTGAAGAATTAATATTCAGTATAAATGAAGTATAACGTCGTTTATTGTAATGAGAATTAATATTACAAAACTGATCAGTATCAGAGATCAATTCGGTTTATAAGGCAGGGATACATTGTGGCTGGCTGAGTCCCAACAAAGAACTTCGCAGTACTTCAAGCTGTTGCACTCCATATTGTATGTTTATTCGAGTGTGACAGCCTACGGAGAGTTATCACTCGAAGTGGTGAAAACCAGCAGTGTCCGTAAGGGATGTCCACTGTCCCCATTTCTGTTGAATTTCATCATAGATTTACCAACAGACTTAAAACCCTAACTGACTTGAGTGATTCAGAGACTGACTTGTTACCAGGGAATAATCTCGTCGATTTAGAATAACCAAATGATGTAGTCCTTCTAGGTGAAAACGCTGACAAAATGCAGAGTCCTCTGAGCACCTTCGAGAGCGGCGATTTCGGGATATTTGACATGCGATTCCCTCCCATCAAATGTAAAATGATGCTACAGGACTGGACTAAATTGACTGACTCCTAGCTTAAAGACAGGCAGAAATGAAGAGATAGAGTATTGACCACTTCACTTATTTGGGAAGTTGCATCGGCGTCAATCGGTTGATGGCCGACGAAATCTCAGCACGGATACAGACGGCTCGTTTGGCATATACCAACTTACGCCATCTCTGGCTTGGCAGACGGTATATCCGGCTGGCTATCGACCAAAGGGCGTACGTACTGCTTAGCAGTCCACTCCATCCTCCTTTATGGCTTTGAGTCCTGGCTATTGAAAGTGGAGGATATGAAAACGCTAGCTGTCTTTGGTGATACGTGCCTGCGTTTTACCTCCCGTGTTAAGTGGTATAATAGGATGAACAAAATTGAGGTTAGGCATCGACTGCTTGGTAAGCAGAGGAAATTAGTAGACGAGGTTGTGAAATTACACATATGAGATGGTTGGGACATGTGCACACCTAGCCATCGCCTTCCTCCACAGCCATTCTTAGTTAACTGATAGAGGATTCATCAGCTTGCAAAAGAGCCAGTGGTGGTCAAACGAAAACATGGCTTCATCAGTCAACAGTTAGTTTAAGCCAGCCACGTAGGAAGGTGTAGACTTCCTGGTTAGGGTCCTCGGGATGGTATGAATCAATGAAGGTTGGAGACAATTGGTGATATGGCACAAAGTAGTTCTCAATGGCTGGCTCAGATACATCCACTCCTTGTGATTTATAATATCCAATAAAACTATATTGTTATTCTGTACTACTATTCTTTTCGCCTCATATCTCTGTTTTGAATTTATGCTTACTCTCTTCTGCTGCTTTGTGTGCTACGTGAAGTGTGTCAGGTCGAACTGCTGCGCATCTGTGCAAAGTTCTACATCGAAAACAGTCAGTCATAGCACACACAGGTAGAGGAAAGAAATTCAAAAGAACTATGCATAATTACATAGAAGAAAATTAGGCCTTAGTGGATCTGGAGGGTTCCAATTACTGGATGCACCTGCACCACTGAATACGGCTTTGAGGCATTACGACAACCGTCTTAATCTAATGGTTTTCAGCGTCAGGACCTCAACCACGAGGTCTTCATCGCCCTACGTAGCGGAAAGTAAGTGTCAAATTGTACATGGATTGATTCCAGGTTTCAGGTTGAACACCCTCATCCTAATCAATTTTCAGCTAGCCGATGAAAGACGCAGTTCAGCCAGCGGGATACGTGTCCTGACACTCTCACCCTGTTTGAACTGGTTTTTGAAGTTATGCTTATAAGCTCTTACTGTTAGCTAAAGAAAGCCACCAGTCGGGAGGTACACTTTATGGAGTGTGCTTTTGTTGACCCAATCTCTCCAGACAGTAGTGACAACATAACTGGTTTAAAAGTCATCTGAGGGGAACACGTTACTGCTGTTATATCCTCATTCGCCAATAAAACGACCTTGCCCACAGACCCCCAACATAGTGTTAACAAATTACGCCATGATGGTTACTCAACTCAGATTTCCGCACAATCCAAATGTCATTTTGATATGACAGGACTATGTTAAAAACAAAGAAGTTACTGAAGGACAAAATAAGTGGTGTCAGTCACAGATCGGCTACCTCGCTCAAGAACCAATTGTATTCACAAGCAGCTGTCCTTACGTAAGCACTGTAAGAGATGATCAGATCATCCGCTTGTCCAGAGGTCGGTTTTCGAAGCGTTGTTCCGACAAATAACCCACTGGTTGGTGACCTGACTGAAGAGCGTTCTCCGTGATTCAGATGCATTCACTTTTAGTGAGCTGACAAATCCACTAAATTCTTACTACTCTTCACATAATAATTTTTGTCCCCGTACACGCGTTTATTTTCCCGCTACCCGTGTGGGCTTTTATGAACAGCTGAACTTATTCGCAGTCCCACGTTGAAAAGTCCGTTCACATAAATGCCTAATACAATGAACAACCATTTCATAACCAAAAACCACCAATTACCTCGAGCTCAAAGCAACTTATACCTTGGCTTCATTTCATATGTCACAAAAATCTGTAAGAACTTAACTCACTCACTCACGTACGTAAAGCAGTATTCATAGTACTACTTTTCGAAGTCAAAATATTAAAATTAGCTGGTTTGTATTGAGTTAGAAAAAGAACAGAACCCAACATACTGAGTAATTAGAACGAGTTAGACATTTTAGGGGAACTAAAACATGATTCCCACTAGGACTGCTCAAAACAACAGTTATACTTTAAAGACATAAGCTATGGAAACAAATATGTGTGCAAGGTAATGCGATGATCAGTACCAGGATTTCAACTGCTGCTTCTTGAGATCGGGTTGTTACATAGGCAACTAAATTTGGCCGGAATCTAGTATTTAATTGCTGCTTAGATAACAGGCTCATTAAAAAGGAGAACAGATTCACATTATAAGGATAGTAGGCTCTCGTTGCTTATGTTAATCCTTGAGATATATATATCTCTGCAGAGATCTAGTTTGTTTTTGAAAGAGTCCAGTCCAGACTGTTACTACCACCCTGAACATGATCCGTCCACTCTAGACTTAGTGCTAACACACCAGAAGGAAGATGTCGGTGACACTAGGTGCCTGGCGCCCCTAGGCAGTAGTGACTATATAGTTATCGCTTTTATGTTTATGATCCACGCTGTCATACATAGGTCAACAACTGCTCGCCCAAACGTTTGGAAAGCGAATATACCTGCAGTCCGAAATGCAGCAACCCTAGTTGACTGGTCTGTTAATACACACCAGACTGTCAAGGAGGCTTGGATGGGATCTAGGAATACACTAGATTGCGTCACTGCACACTTCGTACCTTGGTCTACGCCTTGAAAACTATCGCATAAACCACCTTGGATTAGTAATGAAATAAGGTTATTAAGAAAAAGAAAGAACTTTTGGGACAGGTTTGCTATGACTGGGAGGGATGAGTTTCGGATGGAATACCGCAAAATTCGAAACCTTTTTAAGTCGAAGATCGACAAAAGTCGTATAGAGTATGAAAGACATTTAGTACTGGATTGTGCGCATTATCCAAAAAGACTGTACTCGTATATCAAACACAGGACTGAAACTAGCAATACTGGAGAGGTGGCCGAGTCAGACGAAACAAAAGCTGAGAATCTCTCCAAATACTTTTGCGATGTTTTCTCGCCTAATCATACCACTCAGGGGTGTAGCGAGGTCACTGATGTAGCCACTAAAATGCCCACAATTGTGGTAGAGGACGCAGTGGTTCTGAAACTACTGTCTAATTTGAAGCCAGGTAAATCACCTGGACCAGACGGACTTCACCCTAGATTGCTAATCTCCCTGGCGGATATAATATACATTCCACTTATGGAGATTTTTCAGATGTCTCTGACCCAGGCTAGGCTACCATCTTCAAAGATGGGAACAGGCAGTTAGTATCTAACTACCAACCTGTAAGTCTCACTT